CGCGGGGACACGGAGCCGGCGGGGCCCGGGCCGGGAGTTCGGGGCCTGGCTCGGGTCTTACCATGGCGAGTGCGGTGGTGGGCGCTCCCGCGCTCCCGCTGCCTGGGGCGAGGGCTGGGGACCGGGGAGGGGAGCACCGGCCGCTCTGGACCTGCTTCCCCCGTGACAGGAGCCGCTGTCGCTTTGCCTCTTCCCAAGATGGCGGCCCCGAGCCACGTCTCCAACCGGAAGCAGCGCGGGTCAAAGGGCGGGGGCGGGGCTGGCGAGTGGGAAAACCTGGGTCCGGGATGCTGCGCTTTACTGGTGATGTACCCGGCGCTTGCACTTAGTTGTGGAACCGCGTACCTCTCTCCTTTCACTGTTGGGCGTTCCCCTAAGTTGTTGTTGTTGTTTTTATTTTTGTCATTTTTTACAGTTTACAAAAGCACTTTCACAACCAGTGATGAGGTAATTAATAATATAAAATAATGAGTGCTTACTTAGGGATTAGTATCCAGAATATATAAAGAACTCTTACAACTCAACAATAAAGACAACTCAATCTAAAAATGGACAATGGATTTGAATAAACTTTTATGGAAAAAGATATACAAATGGCGTATAAGTCCTTTTTAAAAAATGCTTAACATCAACGACTGTTAGGAAAATGCAAATCAATACACCTGTAACGACTATCTGCTGACCATAATAATAATGCTATTCACATTCACTTGGATGGCTATAGTAATTTGGCAAGGATGTGGACAAATTAGAAGCCTCATAAACTGCTGCTGGGAATGTAAAGTAGTACAAGCACTTCTCTGGAAAACAGTTTTGCAGTTCCTCAAAAAGTTAAACCTAAAAAAAAAAAGTTAAACCTAAAGTTAACATATGACTCAGCATTCACTAATAGTAGGTACATACTAAAGACAATTGAAAATATATATCAGCACACACCACCCTACTGCATGGTTGTAATCCCAGAATCTCCAGAAGCTGAGACAAGAGGATCACACTCCTGAGGCCAGCCTGGACAATTTAACAAGATCCTGTCCCTAAATTAAAAAACAAGAGAAGAAGGATTGGGTTGGGATATATATTGATGTGAAGGCCCTAGGTTTAATTCCCAGTACGGTACCACACAAATATGTGTGTGTGTCAGCACAAAAATGTATTCTCCAGTGTCGACAGCAGCATTATTTATAATGGCCAAAAATGAAAATAACCCAAGCAAATCCATTCACTAACAGAATAATGGACAAAATATGGTATAGCCATGAAATTGAATATTATTTAGTTATAAAAAAGGAATAAAGTACTGACATAGCCCACAACATGGATTAAGCTGGAAAGTATGTTACATAAATATGTTAGGTTAAAAAAAAAAAAGCTGTATTAAAAAAAAGAAAAGTCAGACTCAGGAGGCTGAGGCAGGAGGATTGTTGTGAGTTTGAGACCAGCCTGGGCTACAAAGTGAGCTCAAGTCCAGTCTGAACTGCATAACAAGACCCTGTCTCAAAAAGACCAAAAAGAAAAAAAAAAAAAAAAGTCAGTTACAAAATGTTACATCTCATATGATCCACTTATGTGAAATGTCCAGAATAGGCAAATCCTTAAAAATAGAAAGTAGATTAGTGAGTTCATGGGATTGGGGACTGACTGGTATTGGTTGTGAGGTTTATGAGCAATCAAAGGGTTTTGACAGTAGATAGAAGGAAATATTCTAGAAACTACTGAATTGTATACTTTAAAAGAGTGCTTTGTTTTGTTTTGCAGTCCTGGGATTGAATGCAGGGCCTTCACACTGAGCTACATCCCCTGCTCCCCAGCTCTTTTTAGTTTTTGAGACAGGATCTCACTAAATTGCCCATGCTGGGTTCAAGCTTGCAGTCCTCCTGCATCAGCCTCCCAGAGTGCTGGGATTACAGGTGTGCACCAGTACATTCAGCTAAAAGGGTGAATTTTTAATAGCTTGTAAGTTACATATTTTAAAAATAGCCCATGTGACAAGTATAAGCCCAGCCTGTGCAACTTAGTGACTTAGCGAGACTCTGTCTCATAATAATAAAAAAAAAGGGTTAGGGGTATGGTGCAGTGGCAAATCCCTGGGTTGAATTCCCATACTGGAAATAAAACAGAACAAATGCTGGTGATATAGATCCATGATAGTACTTGCCTGCTATATCAAGGCCTCAGGTACAACACCCAAAACTGCAAACAAACTGTTATGTCTATGGGTGGACAGCTCACCTCCCTAGGTCATTGTTTTGCTGAAAACATAGCTCTCAGCAAGTTTATGTTAAGTTTAGTATAACAAAAGGCAGAGTTGTTTTTCTTAATTTTTATTTATTTTTTATTTTTTGGTACTGGGAATTGAACTCAGGACCTTGCTCTTGCTAGGCAGGCGCTTGTGCCACTGAGCTATATCCCCAGCCCAAAAGGCCAAGTTTGGTTTGACAAAACATGGTTTATTTGGGGAGAAAAGATGGAAAAGAAGGAGGATAGACAGTTACTATGAGGTGTTAGGGGCCATCAGAGCTGAGAGCCCATGAGTTCTTTCGTTTGTTTGTTTGTTTGTTTGTTTTGTTTGTTTTGTTTCGAGACAGGTTCTCCCTATGTAGTTCAGGCTGGCCTCGAACTTGTGGCGATTCTCCTTAGCGAGACTCTGTCTGAGGCCTGATGAGTGCTAGGATTCAGCACTCATTGGATTGCACCACCACGTCCAGCTAGTCTATAAACTTTTATCCGTGGCTCTTTTTATGGGGGACCAGTGTTTTTCTCATCCCCCAGGTGGGCACTGGTCAATATTTGAGTGAGTTTTTTGGGCTGCCTTTGATCTTAGGCATATCTGCTTATATTCTTTCTGGCCATTTGTTTGTCTCTTTGTAATAAGTAAGTAAAGTGGGAGAACCTACTAGGAAGGCAGCTTATTTAATGATTAAGTAAAGGGGACGTGTACATGTGTGTATCTGGTGGAATAGTAGATTGATGTTAAAGGGAGGACATACATATATGCGTATAGGTATAGGGGTGTGTGTGTGTGTGTGTGTGTGTGTGTGTGTGTGTGTGTGTCTGCATGTCTGTGTGTCTTATATATTAAATAAAAGTCCTTAGGTGGCTGTTTCTTATTTCTCTTACATTTTGTCAGGTGGGTGAGTGGAGCTGGCTTATTGCATCTCTATGTTTGGGGGTTTTAGTGTTAACTCTTTTTGGTAAACTTTCATGGTATTTGTGTTGTTTAGGCCACTCTCTCAAGTCTAGCTTTTCTCTCCTTTCATTCTCTTCAACTGTCCTAACTGCAGAGTCTATCTGTGAAGGCAGAGACTGTTTTTGGTAAGCTTTTTATTGATCTTTTTCTTTCTTTCTTTCTTTCTTTTTTGTTTGTGGGATCGGGAATCAAACTCTTGACCTAGTGCTTGCTAGGTAGGTGCTTGCGCCACTGAGCTATATCCCCAGCCTGATCTTTTTCTTTCTGTTGATCTTAATAAAGCTCAATAAGGCTTTTATCTTATCTTTTTTTCTTTTTTCTTTTTTTTCTTTCTTTTTTCCCCCCATGTCCCCCCCCATAAAAGAAAATACAAAACCCCTGAGAAACCCATGTACAAGAAAAGGGAAGTTATTGTTCTTATTTCTACTGTGCATATGAACAGAATGATGACAAGTTTAAGCAATTTATCCTAAGTTTCTCGATTAGTATTCAATGGATTCAAAACTCAAATCTGGTCTTTGGAGTTTTTATTTTTTTGTTTGTTTCCACGGTAGGGATCCAACCCAGGGCCTAACACACATGTTAGTCCATCCCTCTACCACTGAGCTACTTCTGATTCTTTGGAAGTTCACCCATGCCAAATTTCAGGCTTTTCAGATTGATTCAGTAGTTCGTCCCCATGTCATAGTATCATTTTATCCCAAATCCCTGGCGCAACCCTACAGCATTCATCCACATTAACTATGAGTCTTCAACAAAGGGTAACAGTAATTCTTTGTTGAGTTGTGGTTTTTTTTTTTTTTTTGAGTGCTTATTCTGTATCAGGTACTTTACATATTTTATCTCTAATCTTTACCACAATGCAGATGAAGACTCAGAGCCTCAAAGGTTAAGCACAGCAAATGGAAGAGCCAGGGCTCAAGTCCAGCTTTTCTTGTTATAGTACATTGCCTTTCTCGTGATCTTTTGTGTCTTCCTTAACATTTATTGAATACTACCAGGCATGACTCTAACTTCTTCTCACAGGTTATCTCATTTATTCACACAAGAATTCTCACCATTATTCTCCATTTTACCCAACTAGACATGGACAATAGCTTTGAATAGACCTTGAGCCTCAGGCTTTTGCACTGAACTGCTTCCTTGGCAACAATTTCTTTCTTTTCATATTTGAAACAGCCTCTCCTAAGTTGCTAAATTGCCCAGGCTGAGCTCAAACTTGTGATCTTCCTGCCTCAGCCTCCCAGAGCGTGCACCATTTCCTGCCTCAGCCTCAGATGTGTGCACCACTAAGACTGGCTTTGAGCTTTCTAAAGAGTTCGTGGGAAGACCACTGGAAAAGCCACAGAAGAGAATTGTCCTACCAAAGTGCACATAGCTAGGAGATGGAAAAGCCAGGATTCAAATGAGGCTGTTTGACTTCAGAGCCTGTACCTTTAAGCACTGTATTATATTTTTTTATTTATTTAAAAAAATTTTTTGGGCTGGGGATTTAGCTCAGCGGCAAA